TTTCTTGAAGTTTATGTGCATTTTCTCATCTACCCTGAAGAACAGCCACACGAAATAGGCACTGATAATCCCCAAGTTGGAGTTGAGAAACGTGACTTTATTATGATCTTTCCTGTCGTTGTCATCATCGACCCACTAAAGTTCGTGTCCCCTGTATTTATTCATGGTTCAAAATCAGGAAGAGAAAATAAACACAAAGCACATTATATGCTGCCGTGGCTGGATATGGTTTGCTCCTGTAACGCTCATGTAGACCTAATAACCCAGTGCAGTGGTAGGAGGCAGGCCCATGGGAAGTGACTAGATTAGGATCATTCTCCTGGAAGCCTTAATGCGGGTCTCACGAGTGGGCTGGATCTCGAAGGAGCAGGTGAAGTCCGAGAGTAGAATCTTACAGAAGAGAGCCTGCACCTCCTTTCTTCCAGTCGTGCCCCGTTATCTCTTCCACACACACACAGCTCTTGCACACTCTCTCTATACTGTTTGATGCCACTGGACACTTAGCCCTTAGTTCAGAGAGCGTGTGTGAGTAGTGGATCTGGAAGGTCTTAGAACCCTTCCTGGTGCCCTTCCCTTTATTATTAGCAGTACTTCAAAATCATTAAAAGAGGAATTCATGTCTTCACAATTAAAGGATGTGAAAGCTTTAGCCCTGTCAACTGAAAGAGCGACTTGCCCTCTTTCTGGTTCTTTTTCCTCTCACCAGGACGTCAACTCTAATGTTGGATGAAGGACACACTCTTGGTGCTCCTACCTGCCACGAAAGTCCCAGAGTCATCTTAGACAAAACACTCTCAGTTTATAGGAGTCAGATTCCCTATTTTAGAAAAGGCTTGGGAAACAAAACAAAAGTACCCCCAGCAAATGAAATACAGTGGGACAGGATCCTCCAGAGAAGGGAATGCCAGTCTGAACGAACCCCAGCTGCTGAATAACAAGGTTTTTTCCCTCAGTGTCCTGAGTAAAAGTGACACCGCACCATGACTGGATTAGCATCAATCCCAGCATGCCTACCAGGGTGAGTAACATGTGTCCATACATCTGGCCTGCAGTGACCCTTTGGTGGTGAGTCAGTTGTCACCACTGGCACTGAAGTCATGAGTTGTAGCTGTAAGCTGTTTTAAATGAACATGTCTGTAAAATTCAGCTAGTTTAAGTAAGAAATTCTAACAGAAACTACATTCAACATATACCCAGAATTAAAGATTGAACCTATAAACCCAATATTTTATACCAGGGAATATTATTCAGCAAAAAAAATGGATGAACCGCTACAAGCAATGCAGGAGAGCCATAGACAATGTTGAGTGAAAGAAGCCAGCTACAAAGGACTAATTCCATAAATATCAGGTTTAAGAACAGGCAAAAATAACGTGATAAAAGTCAGAGGACTGTTCTTGGCTAGCAGAGGGTGATGATGCTGATCAGGAAAAGGCTTAAGTGAATTTTATTGAGTGGTAAAAATCTTCTGCCTGCTTCTTCTGAGCTTCAGTCACATGGGTGGTGGCCCAGTGGTCCCCAGGCAGTGTCCTTGTCCTTGGACAGTCTCCCTCCTGCCAGGCCTGGAACTCCTGTTTGGCCAACAGGACATGGCAGGAGCAATGGCATGTCACTTTGGAGGCTAGAAGCTGAAGGAGACGGGGCTCTGCGGTGCTTTCTCCTGGGTGTTCCCCTCGGGGAGCAGCTGACTGCCCAGTCAGGAGAACACCAAGGCAGCCGTGCGGAAGAACCTAGGCCCGTGTGCCTGCCCCAACTGCAAGTGGGCCCCGCAGCTCCATCAGGCTTCCAGATGGTGCCCTAAGCTGATGCCTTGACTACAGCCTCATGAGAGGCTGAGTCAGAATGACTCAGAACACCCGAATCCCTGGCTGGCAGAGACTGTGACATATCATTACTTTTTTTTTTAACCGTCTGAGTTTTGTAGATGTTTTGTTTTGTTTTTGAGGTACTAGGGCTCAAAGCCAGCTCTATCACTGACCTATACACCCACCCCTTGGACCTCTGCATGACTCCTTGCGGCAACCTACTGCTAGGTGGATCATTATTCTTATGCAATTGTTAAAATCTTACAGGAAAACAGGCCAACCTTATTTTTACTCTGAAAACAAACTAAATGAAACACCTGCAACACAAATGCTAGATCAACAGGCTGATGTTCTTACTCAAGAGCTGTTATGAATCAATATAAAAAAGAAAACAAAGTAGCAAGAAGTAAAGAGCACAGAAAAAGAAAATCATTTTTTAAAAAGATAGCATCTTACCATGTTGTCAAATAGGCCTCAACCTCATAATCCTCTCTCCTCAGGCTCCCAAGTAGCTGGCATCACAGACCTCTGCACTGTACCTTAGAATCACTTGTGAAGGTATAAGAGGTTCCTACTTTCATTTATAATTACAGACATTAAAGTGTCAGCATGGGTGTGGGGAACCAGGCATGGCCCTGTGCTGCTGACAAAGGTCTGAAATGCAGTCTTTTTTTTTTTTTTTTTTTTTTTTTGTCTTTTTCATTTTTATCGGTATCAGGGATCGAACTCACGACTGCCTGCTTTCAAGGCAGGCGCTTATGCCGCTGAGCTAAATCCCCAGCCCCAAAATGCAGTCTTTTTGGAAGGCAACTTGACAGTAATCAACATAGCAACACACATGGCCTTTGATTCAGCAATGTAAAACAAATTTTAATGTGAAAATTTCCAATGCTTCTCTTGTAGATGTTTGCTAAGCTTTAGATACAAAGCAGTTTGTGTCACCATTGTTTCCAATAACTCAAGCCAAGCAAAATGTCCAATAGGAGGCAAATTAAGTAAATAACAAAGTGAATCAAACACCATTCACATGAGTATTTCAAGCCTTCCCCTTCTATCTTCTAGTGAAACAATTTTGTCTTGGGTCATTTTTGCCCTCTCTCTCCATAAGGGAAATATTCAATAGCTTTTAGATTTTTGTCATGTAGCATCATGATGAAGGTAGACTGCACAGAAAAAAGATTTGAGGCTCCACGAAATCCACACCAGCTCAGGGATGAGAGGCAGTCAGTGGGAAATGAAAGGCACACTTACCAGCTATTATCAGGACCATGTGTACCCTTCACAGTACTACCAATACAGGAAAAATACAACTCCCGGCCTGCTAGATGTCACATGTGCGGAGTTCATGTCCACCAAATATGGAAGAATGAATTCCAAGGAACAAAGGAGGTTAAGAGCAGGAAAAGGTTTGTTAAGAGAAAGCTCCTGAGAGACAGGAGGCTGTTACACTAAGATCCTGAAAAATTAAAAGTTAATTAAAGGATAGTTATTAACAAAAATAGTTAATTAAAAGGATAGTTATTAGCAGTATTGCCATTCTGTGTTGAGCTTGTTACCCTAGTAACCAAGCACCAACCACACAGTTATAGATTAACTACCCGCTTCATCATGCTGTTCTGTAGGCATCGTTCCCCCTCACCCCAGTAACCTATTTGCTGTGTCAACCTTTGTTCCCTTTGTAAGAGACAAATGATGTTGTGTCAACCATTGTTCCCTTTATGAGAGACAAATGTTCCTGGAATTGGCAGACCAAGGGCTATGAGTTGGCTAACCACCCACTGTGAAATGCCTCTGACCTCAAGCAAAGGGGAACAAAGGCCCACCTTGTTTCTGTTTCTCATCACTATGTACTTAATGATCAATGAGCTAATCATAAATGAACTATAAAAATCAAAACTCTAACTCAGTCGCACAGCTTTGCAAATTCCATCTGTACTGTGTCACTGGGCCAGCTAAAATAAAAGCGCTTCTTTTAAAAAGACGTTGTCTTGCCCCATTTTTCATCTCGGGGCTTTTTTGGCGGCGGGGGGGGGGGGGGGGGGTTTACAACAGAGGGCTCCTGAACAAGAATAGATGACAAAATCATAACACGGATACAAAGTGGCTCAAACTACACCCAACCTATATGGGATTATGAGTGTAGCTGCTTAACTAATACTGACCAATAGGGAAAGGACAAAGACATTTGGGGGCAGGGAGAGGAGTATGGGTCCAGACGTTCTGCTCTCCTACTGTGGGTCAGGAGCCAGAAGGTACTAATTACAGCCTAACCTGAAGTCTAATCTCTAGGAAGACATGGGTTTTTTTCCCAGTCGGAGGCCTGGCTCTCTTCAGATCTCCCTGTAGCCACAATTCTAATGTCTTTATTTTTTTATTCTGACTTCCTGGTAGTCCCATTGCTTCTCTCACTGTTTATTAATTTCTGTCTAACTTAGCTGTCTGTAATACAACAAGGATTTTGAAATCCTTATTGACCGGTGATCTAGTTTTTACTGACTTAGACACTGTTCTGAAACTGACTCATCTCTATCTAATTTCTTAGATGTTATACACTTGTAATAAAACCTTTAGGGCTATTAAAAGTGACATAGGCAGGGTGTGGTGGTGTACACCCACAGCCCCGGCATTCAGGAGGCTCTGAAGCAGAAGATTGCCATGAGCACGAGGGTAGCCTGAACTACATGGTAAGACCCTGTCTCAAGAAAAAAAAACAAAAAAACAGTGACATAGAAATCATATTGCTAAATGTAAAAAAACACAATGAAAACTGTGCTGTATAGTGTTTTTGCTTACTTTAGAAATTTGTACTTACTGTAAAAGTCACATATATGTTTTCAACTACATAGAAGCTTAGCAAAGGATGTTTTTGCACATTTACAAGGATCATACTTCTAATAATTTTATTTTCCTTCTAGTTTTGTGCTTTGTAATTCTGAGGTCGAATAGTGCTTATAAAAGTAGCAACATTGAATATTCTTTAGGCAAACAAAAGTCTTTCTTAGAATTTCAATCAGGTTAAAGCAATTTTAGTAAAGGGGAAAAAACCCCACAAAGGTAACATGGATGGAATTAAAAGTGAGTTTTAAAAAATTCTCATTTCAAAACTTTGTGTGTTTTTGAAATTCTTTTGCTCAAGTACCATGAGTGCAGAATTATTTTGCCAGCAAAAACCTGTTTTCCTTAGAAATAAGGTAGTTTATTTTAAAATATTTCCTAGCTTTTGGGGCATTGTTGAATCTTCACAAAAGACTAAGATTCAGGAAAAAAACATGTGTAACAGCTCTTTTAGTGTTTTGGTGAATGGTGGCCAGACTGTAATTTGTGGTACACCTGAATTTCTGCCCATCCCAGGAATGTGTCTCATAGTGTTTGACCATGCATTTATTTGAGTCGGTTATTTTGTACAATAAAGCATACCGAGGACTTATTAAAACACTCAGGGCTGGGCCCAGGCCAATAGCTTCTTGCCCCAGTAGGGTGGGTCCTGAGATTTTGCATTAAGATTCTTTCCAATCTTTATTTTTATTAGTACTTTTTTGCAATACATAGTGATTACATGCCCTGTGGGGAGTTGGTACATGCAGATTCTCAATCTTTTGGCATTCCCTCTCCCCTCAGGGGGCTCTGAGACCAAATTTTGACACTCCTTGCATGAAAGCATAGTATCATCAGCAGGACCCCCAGGAGCCTAAGTCTCAGGAAGAAGTCACCATAGAAGATTCAAGGCTTAGATGCAGAGGAAATCCATCTAGCTCTACGTAGGTCAGCGGGGTGGATGTCTCAGGGCGGAGCAGGGCAGGGGGCAAGATAGCAACAGAAGGAGCAGCACCTGCAAGGTAGGAATAGGAAGGTCATCGCCATCGTGGTCCTGCGACTGACTTTGATCATTGCTACACATGGAAATTTAATCTCTTCATTGTAAATAGGTTTCCACTGTGGAGAATGAGACTCTTACCTCCTTGTTCTTAACTCCAAAATGGTTCTGACTGATGCGCTTTAGCAGCCTGCATAAATGAGATGAGAGGAAGTTATCAGAAATTCATTCATATCATAAAAATAAGTACAAGACAAGAATATATAGTAAATGCATGGCTCAAAAACGAAGATGCTTCTCTTTTATTTTTGTATTCCTCAATTTCACTGAGAATTTAAAATAAACTGATCAGACCACTGGGTTTTCTCTGCCCCAAGCTCTGGGCTGGACGCGGCTCGGCCAGCAGGTGGCGCGTTTCTCACGCTGTCCCCAGCAGACCGTAAACAGAGGGTGGCGAGACGCCCGCCTCCCTGCGTCCCACCCCTGCGCGCTGGATCACACGCGGTCACGCCACTGCGCATCACCAGCGCCTGCTTTGCCAATAGTACCCGGGCACCGATTCCTTTTGCGTAACCGAGTCTGGAAAGAAAACCGCTGAGTACTTATCGAGGCCGAAATAAACACGCGTTGCACAAGAGACGGGGTCGTTTTTTCTTTTGATTGATTGACTGCTTGATTGATTACAAGGTCGCGCTAAATCTTTAGGTTGCCCAGGCTGGGCACTAGTTTATGATCCTCCAGTCTCACCCTCCCCACCCATCGAGTGTTCGGATTACAGGCTTGCGTCACCACGCCCGACCGAGGAATAAGGTCTTCATTGGGAAAAACATCTCCAAGCATTCACATTGCCAAAACCTTCTCGCCCACCCTCTGCAACCCAGGAGAAAAAATGGAAGGAAACGAATTCAAGCATCGAGACCAGAAACTGCTGGCACAACTCTAGAAATACCCTCCTGGGTTAGATTGCAGAGGTTCAGCTGCCGGGGTCTGGAAGACCCTAGCTCGACGCCGTGCACCCAGAGGCAGCAGGACTGAGGACCCGGGAGAAGTTGGGGCTGTGGGAAACACTGGCTGGCTCGGCTGTCTGCCCTCCAGCCCGGCCCCGCCCCGAAACTGGCCCATTAGCCCCGCCCTTAATGGGAGGAGCCTATGGTCCCGCCTTCCTTCCTGACCTGCGCGCGCAGTCCGTCACCGCCCGCGCCGGCCCTCTCCCTAGTCAGGCGCCTGACCCAAAACCACCGGCGTTAGGCGAGCGGCCCCGGGCGTCGTGCCGAGCGAGCCAGAGCGGATCTCCGTGCGGCGGCAGCATGGGCGCGCGCGGTTGGGCCCTCGGCCTTCTCCTGCTGCTGCTCTGCCCGGTGCAGGTGAGCGGCCCCGGTGCCCCGGGCGGGCGGTGGGTGTGCGTGGGGGCCAGGGCCGGGTCTGGGGCCGGGGCCGGGGGCCGGGGCCGGCGAGGGAAGGTGGTCTACGGGTGCAGCCGGGGAGGTCCCCGCCCTCCGGCTCCAGTCTCCCGCCACACGCTCCTGGCTGGATCGACAGCTGGAGGCTGATCGTGGGACTGCTTTGAGCTGGTGTCAGCTGTGGTTCCCGAATTTCTCGATTCAGGATGTGGCATCAGAGGGGAGGAGAGTGAGCGAAAAGGGCTCAGGACCTTATTTAATTTTGTCTACTAAAAAAAATCTTGATGCTCACGAACTCTTTGGAAGCTCAAGGGTGCGTGCGAGTTGTTTCTCATCACCTCGTTGTTAACATCCCAGGAAACCGAGGCCCACAGCGGGTAGCTGGATTTCCTCTTGTCACAATTACTCGGCAGCTACTGGACTGTGTGTCCTGAGTCCTTTGGTGGCTCTTCCTGGGTTTAGTAGCCCCGGGTACCGGCTCCTCACTGCTGTTTGTAAAGAAAAAACCCTAGCGAGGTTTGGGAGGGTCTAAGGGTGTGAGTATTTCATATCGGGATGAAAGAATGAGCCTTTGGAAATTCTATATCCTTTGGCCACTGGTCCTCTTCACGTAGGCTGTCAGTGGCTATGAGGTGGTGTGGCTGCGGGGGGAGGCAGAGAGAGGGGTCCCGCGGACTAGAAAAACCTCTTGTCTGTGTAGTGATTGCAAGATGACCCAGAACCCTTTCGGCGTGTGTGTGTGTGTGTGTGTGTGTGTGTGTGTGTGTGTGTGTGTGTCAAGGGAGAGAGGTGCCCCTGATATGTGGGTTTGTGAAAGAGCACACATCTGATATCCTGATGAACTCAAAGATGCTTGGCTGGGAGGAAGCCCAGAGGAAAACCTATTTCAAAGAGACAGTTTGGATTATGGATGGGCTCAGCCACAGATCGCTCACTGGCTCTGTGGCTTTCGGTATTTGACTCTTGGCTTCAGCTTTGTTTATTTATGTTTGTTTGTGTTTTGAGACAGGGTCTCACTGTGTAGTTCAGGCTGACCTTCAACTCACCATGTAGTTCCAGGCTGGCCTCTAGAACTTGCAGGAATCTTCCCTGCCTCAGCCTCCCGAGTACTGGCATTTCGGGCATGTATTACCATGCCTGGCTGTTGGTCTGAAGATAAAAGTAATACCTTGTAGAATTACTGGGTTTAGTAAGTGATATAGCATATATCCCTAATGTAGTTTAAAACTCAAGAAATTCTGTGCCTTGGAGAAAATACAGCTATTTAGTTTCCTGAGCATTCCAGAGCATACCTTTTACTTCAAGGTAGTATCCAAGGCCGTTGATCAATGGGCGTCTCTTTTTTGAGCATATTTGGAGTATGTCAATTTGATTGTGAATCTCTTACACAGCATCTAGGAACCTTTTTGTGGTCAGCAGATCTTAACTAGAAGGACCACTACTGTTGATTTTTTAACTTAACATCTGTCTAGAGGCTTCAGGGCATCTGAATAGATGAGGTGAACCCCGGAAGCCTGATTGGAGAGGAGGTCTTAAATAGGGTTAGGGTTATTAAATACATTTGGGGGAGTTTTTCCTTGTTTTTCTTAGTTCTTACAACTTACATATTCAATAACAGTCATAGGCTTTGTGATTTTTTTTTTTGTATTGGGGATCGGACTCAACTTCACACTTGCCAGGCAGGCAATTAAGCCACTGAGTTAAATCTTGACCCATTTTTTTGTCTTTTTGAGACAGGGTCTCACTATGCAGTTCAGGCTGGTCATGAGCTCACTTTGTAGCCCAGGCTGGTCTCAAATTTATAATGATTCTCCTGCCTCAGCCTTCAGAGTGCTGGGATTACAGGAGTGCACCACCATGCCCGGTTTAGGCTGTGTGATTTTAAAACCTTGTGATATACAAATTATGAATGCAGAAATAGTATGTCTGTCTTGGCTGTGTTATTGTTGGTGGTGGGTTTTGTTGTTTTGTTTTTTGAGACAGGGTTTAGTTCGGTAGCCCAGGCTGGCCTCGAACTCTCTTCCTCAGCCTCTCACCATCTGGCCTGGTTGTTAGACTGTGATTTTTATAAGATTTTCCTTGAAGGACTTGGAACTTAGTGAAATCTGAGTGGGAAGCAAGCTCTTGTGTGATTTTTCCAGAGGGGATCCAGAAGGGAAGGGATCAGAAGGGAAGAACAGCCATTTGAAATTAGAGTAAATATGAGGAAATTTTCCAAGTCTCTCCTAAGCCTTGACTGATGCCATGGTTAGATATCTTACCAACAAAGTGGAAATGGAGTTTTTTTATTTTAGCAAGTGGGCAGAGAGCAAAGGACTTGCTAAATGGATCTTTGTATTTCTGCATGTTTGTTATATTACCCAGAACAAAGAATCCTTCTGATCATGAAGATAGTGTGACCTCTCTTCCCGGGTAACCCTTCCTAAGCCTCCACTTGTCTGAAATGAATGACACAGTACCTACTAGGAAGCCTGATTAGGCCATCTCTAATCTGATCGCAGGTGTCCCTTTCCGCTCTCTCGCCCAGAGCTCTGTGAAGGGTGTCCTCTTTCCAGCCAAATTATTTGCTATCACTGCATTCCCTGTCTTTGAAGGCATTGTCCTTCTCCCCACGTACAGTCCTTCCTCCGAAGTTCTGGGTCTGTTTTTAAACTGCTGCAGTGGAATTGGCTGCCTGGCAAAAGACTAGAGCGTGGATTTTCTTTTCACTCTGTTGGTGATTTCTTTTGAAGTATAGAAACTTTTCAGTAATATGAGATCCCAGTTGTTGATTCTTTGAAGTGTTTCCCGTGAAGTTTGGGTTTCATGAATTCTCCACCTACCCCTATGTCTCCAAGATTTCTACCTACCTTCTCTTCCAGTAGATTTAGTGTTTCTGTTTTAATATTTAGGTCTTTGATCCATTTAGACTTTAGTTTTGTGCATGGTGATAGGCATGGATCTAGTTTCAGTCTTCGGCATGTGGAGAGCCAACTTTTCCCAACACCATTTATTAAAGAGTTTATCCTTCTTCCAGTGAACATGTTTAGCCCCTTTGTCAAATATCAAGTAGCTGAGTGTCTTTGTAGTTGTGCTTGCATCTTTAAATCTGTTCCGTTGATCCTCTGGTCTATTTCTTTGCCAGTACCATGCTGATTGTATCAGTGTGGCTTTGTAGTATAGTTTCAAGCTAGGAATTGAGATGTCTCTTGTCTTGCCTTTGTTGCCCAGAATTGCCTTTGCTATTCTAGGTTCTTCTGTTTCCAAATGAATTTTAGGAGTATTTTCTCTAGATGTGTGGGGTATGTTAATGGTATTTTGATTGGGATTGCATTAAGTCTGCCTCAAATTGTCTCCATTTGCCTATGAAGGCCTCAAGATCATTCTTTTTATAGCTGAGTAATATTCCATTGTATAAAAATATCACATCTTTTTCATCCACTCTGTGGTTGATGAGCATCTTGGTTGTTTCCAAGATTTAGCTATTACAAACTGTGCTGCTATGAACATGGGAACATATCGCTGTGATAGGACCTTTTCAGTTTTTCTGGGAAAATACCGAGGAGGGGAATAGCTGGGTTGAATGGAACTTTCAATCCTGGTCTTCTGAGAATTCTCCAGACTGATTTCCATAGTGGCTGCACCAGTCTACACTCCCACCAACGGTGGAGCAGTGTTCCTTTTTCCTCACAGCCTCGCCAACATTTGTTATCAGTTGATTTCTTGATGGCAGCCATTCTTTCCAGAGCGAGATGAAACCTCAGTGCTGTTTTAATGTGCATTTCTTGAATGACCAAATGATGGTGAACATTTCTTCATATATTTATTGTCATTTGTATGTTTTTATCTGAAAACTGTGTGTGCATCTCAGATGCCCATTTTTGGAGAGGGTCTTTGAATTTGAGGGGCTTGATGTTTTTCAATTCTTTATATATTCTGGACATAAGTCCTTTGTCTGAGGGATTGCTGGCTAAAATTCTTTCCCATTCTGTGGGTTTTCTTTCATTATTGAAAGAAATAAGAATCATATTTTATAAAAATCATATTGTGTCTTTAATGTAAAAAGTAATAAGAAATATAGGAGTAATAAAACCCAAAATGTCTAATTGGTATTATAAAAAAGAGAGGAAAAGAAAATGCTCTAAAGGATATAACTGCATGTATGTTTTAGTGTATAGGATCGATAACCATATTACTAAGTTTTTGTTGGATCGTTGGACAGAACTGTTTGCAGTCTCGCTGTTTGAATGTCCACTTTGTATGCTTCAGTTTTGTAACTTGAACAGCTATTTGTAAGAGGACAATATGAGCAGTAATTATCAACTAGTGATTTCTGTTTTTGTTTTTGTTTTGAAATTATGTATTATTTCTACCCTTTCTCTGTTTGGTTTTTTTCCTTTAAAAAAAAAAAAAAAAAAAAAGACTGGAGCATGGGTCTGTATTCTTTGCAAGAGTGACCCTGGACAAGGCTGTGGAGTTTCAGTTTCTCTCTCTTAAAAATTGGTTAATGTCTTACCTTCTTGTTGCTGGGACAATGTGCTAAAGAAGGGAAGTTTATTTCAGCCCACAGTTGGTACGGGTTTCAGTCCACAGTTGGAGGGCTCCACGGCAGGCAGGGCAGCACGGCTGCAAGGCAGAGGGGCAGGACAGAGCAGAGCTGCTCACAGCATAGCAGGCATGCAGCAAAGAGGTCAGAGGAGAGGGAAGGGCTACAGT